AGAACCCGCGAGCCTATCCCCGGGTCTCCCAGGGTGGCCAGCAGCACAGTGCAGGGCTCGATAGCAGCAGAGGAGCCATCCTATCTTGAGCTTCAGCATCTGGCGACGTTCCTAGCTGAGTCCACTGGGGATTTCGGGAACTGCTTCTGGCCTGCTTCCCAGTCGGTTCCCCTTCTCCCACAGTCCCTCCCGAGGCTCATACAGCCAGATCAGGTCCTCTGAAAATACACACCATCTTGGGTTTATTTGGGATTGGGCATTGCAGGTTCAGGCACAGTTTGTTCCTGGATAGGAAGAGTCATGACCTCTCAGCTCTCCTGGCACTTCAGGGGCCGCCCCCACAGATCCCCTCCCCATGTCCCTGCACACACGATGTCACTTCCCCCCTCCCTGCTCCCTGAGTCTCTTATTCTTTCACCAGCCGGTAGATATGGTGCTGAGCCCCGTGCTCGCTGGCTGACACCTCAAAGACATAAGCAACGCACAGCAAGGTCTCCTGCGTGTCTCTGTTGGTGACCACCTGCAAGTGATGAAAAAGATGAAAAAGGTGAGCCCCAAACGAGGGCATGCCATTTGCTCTACCTACCCATCCGCTCCCGCCCCACATGTGCGGGCCCCCCGGCCCCTCCACGCACACACACCTGCAGGATGGTGAAGTTCTCCAGCACGCTGTTCATCATGTATTTCTCGGGCAGGTGCTTCAGCTTATGGATGAAATTGATCATGTACTCGCAGAGTGGGGACCGATGAATGCGGTATGAGTAGTGGCCATTCTCATAGCGGGCATACTCGGTCTGCAGGACCCAGGGAGCAGCGGAGGCTTAGAATCTCTTTGGACCACCTCCAGCCCAGGCCCAACTCCACAGGGAAGTTCCATGACCCACTCACTCTCAAGTAGGAAGAAAAGGCAGGAGGCCTGGAGGCCCTTGAGAACAGAGCCCCCCTCCTCCCTCAGTGATAGGCAGGCCAGGTACGGGAGGAAGGAGCATTGAGTGTAGCGGCACTAGGCGAGATGGGACAGAGCGATGACTCAGTCCTGACTGCACACTAACACACGCTAACGTGCACAAATGACAGCATGTAAACAGGTGACACCCGAACCGGATTGCTGGGCTGCATCAATGTCAATTTTCTGGTGGCCAATATTATGCTCTAGTTATGCAAGATGTTGCCCGATGAAGGGTACATGGGGTTACAATTGCATTGCGTGTGGAACCATAATTATCTTAAAATAAAATTTTATTTAAAAATAACTGGAAGAGCATCTTATAAACTACTATTGCTGTGGAGTGGGGTTCAGGCACTGGTGTGTTTCCAAAGTCCCCAGATGACCAAAGGTGCAGCCAGGGCTGACAAACCCTGGGATGGGGGGCACTGTCTCTTCCCTGGTGCCAGCCCGGCATCTGTGTTTGACATGAGGTGGGTTGCCAATAGGTAACAGACTTATTTATGAGGGGAAGAGCTCACTGACTCACACAAATCTGGGGAAAGAGGTGGGGGGGGAGGGCAGGGATGAAGGCCAACCTGAAGCAGCAAGGGGCCTGGTTTAACAAACATATGGGGAGGGCTCCTACCTCCACTTTCTCTACCACCTGCTTGCCAAAGGAGCAGACCTTGGTGGAGCAAGTGATTATCATGTTCTCCGGACTCTCATATTGGCTGGAGACTCCGTAGAAGGAGCTGCCTTCATCCTCGATGTTGGTGTTGAGGTCTGCCTGGAGGAAGACACAGGGAAGACAAGCAGTGGACAGGTTAGTCGGCAGGGGCTCCACCAGGGGTGGAGTCAGAAAGAAGCCTGGGGCCACAGTCCAGGTTCTAGGGCCAGGGAAGACATCAGGAGGGCCTAAAAAGAACTTGGACAGTAGGATCTTGGAAAGCTTCCACCTTTCTCCATATCCAGGCCTGGTATAAGATCAGGTTGTGTTGTCTAAACAATGGAAAAAGAGAACACTGGCACCTGTGTTAGTTTCAGGCCTCTGCTACCCATTTAGGCACCAACACACCCAGCAGGTGGGGCCCCCAATTTTGTCCTTAGGACTTCAAGTCCTATAGTCTAAGGCTCTGCTCTTGTTAAACTGCAAACATCTGAATCTATATCAGTCATTTCTATTTTAGTATGAATTTATCAGATCCTCTCCAGAGTCCATCCTAATGGTGAAGTAAGCGTGGGAACAGAAAGCCAGAATGGGAGACTGGCAGAGCGGAGAGTGGGAGGGGGTGCTGGTACATGGAGGAGAAGCTGGGACTTGACTATGTCTCATCCTCCAGTCCAGCTGGCCACTGGACCCTGCCAATGCTCTTTTGGAAATGGCTCTGGGGGTTGGCCTCTCACCCATCTCTACAGCATTACTGAGTCTAGCTACCCTTGACCTTCTTACATCTGTTTCAGCCTCCAGACTAATCCCAACACCAGTCTTCTTCCCTCTGGTTCATTCTCTAACTTCTCAGAGCTCTCTCCGAAAACCAAGTCTGATTGCATCACCCCATAGTTAAAACCCTCTCACCGAGCCCCTTGCCATCAGAGAACACTGCTCTCACTCTCCAGCCTGGCTTGTGAGCCTCTGGTCCTCTAGATCAGCTTCTTGCTGTTCTCCAACACACAGCTTTTCCTCCCCTCCTGAAAGCAGAGCCTGAAGCATCTGCTTGATGTTGGGTTGATTAGAAAAGGTGGAGTAAGATTCCTGATTTCACACACGGATCTTGGCCTCGGTCTGATCAGTGAGGCTCCCTGACCACAGGCCCCGCCCAACACCACACAGCTGACAAGGGATGGGTCCCAGGTCTTCAGGCTCCAACTCCAGTGCTTACCCAAATCTGGCAGAGTTACAGGACAGGGACGGAGACACTGGATGAGATAATGCAGTGCCTTGGAGACTCTGAGGCAGGAACTGTATTTCAGAAGCCCTGAACCACTTGGGGGTCCCTATCCCCAGAACTTAGGCCCCACATCAAATCATTCCATCCGAACCAGGGGTGCTAACAGAGCCACTTAGGACCCAGAACAAATGCACAGATTTAAAAAGGTTCATTCTGAGGGTGGAGCCTCTCATCCCGCCTACACACTAATCTGAAATCACTGCCAAGCTGGACTCAGAGTGAGCCCTGCGGATGCAGTAGAAGCTCTAGACCCTTGGTGTCTAGATCCTGACACCAAGGACTCTTCCGCACAAAATAAGGGGATCCCCAGAACCCCAGGAAGCCTCTGGCACCATTTAGAGCCAGGCACAGGCAGTTCTGTTACTGGCCATTAGGGAAAGCTCAGTCATTATTTTTCTCTACTTTGGGGAAAGAAATTTTCCAAGAACAAGAACATTCTCTAGACTGGTGGAGGGCATTACATGTCTTACGGCACAATAGAAATATTATGTAGCCACAAAAACTGTTGAGAAGGACCTGTATTTACTATTGTGAATTGACTACAACAATTGTTAAGTGAAAAAAAAAAGCAGGTTATGGTTATGGAACAGAATGTGGATGTGTTCCTTTTATGATGAGAAAAAGAAAAAAGCGTGTTTTCATGTTGAATAGAATGGCATATGTTTAGTGTAGTCTGTGATGGTTTTAATGAGGCCACTGGGAAGACAGGAAAAAAAGGAATTACGGCTACATTCAAGTCAATGCTCAGCCTCTGAAATAAACAGCAGTGTTGTGAACACCCCCCGTCCCGCCCCCGGGCTGGCCTGTCTCAGTACTCTGTGGTGGGGATGGGGCCCGGCAAGAGAGAGGGCCCAAGTCCTGGCCGGGGTAGACCAGGCCTCGGTGGGCTGCACACTGACGGCAGCTGGGACTGGCCCAAAGCTTTACAGTTAAGTATAAGGTGAACTGGGCTCAAAATCCAGCTCTCTATTTTCCCTGCTAAGTCACATGCTCCTCCTGGGAGACGAAGTTTGCCAGACTTCTTTAAAAAGGAACAGTTTGCTCAAAGTATGCTGCAGCTTTTAGCGCAGGGCAGAAGTGTGAAAAAGAGCTGGCAGGAAGCCCGGCTGCCCGGGAGGGCAGGCACCCGAATACGGGATGACGGGTGCCAGCCAAGTCGCAAGGCCAGGGCATAAGATAGTAGCACTCAGACTATAGCCCCTGCCAGCCTCCTCTTGATTAACGTTGTACGTGTGTCCCACCTACCACAGGCCTTACCATGCCCCTACTGCTTTCTCTTAAATCAACTCGTTCCCTAACTCCATGCTAAGTAAGCAATAATACCCATGAAATCAGTCAGGGATTCTATTTTTTCTGATACATGTAATAACAACAGCATGACTACTAAAGAAGAAATATTTATTCATATGTCACCTAAAAGAATGCTGTGCACCACGGCTGGGCAAGACTGGTCCAATCCCTCCCTGGTTCTTCCCAGCACACAAAGGTCATGGCTGCCTAGCACCCCTGCAGTGCCCTGGACATGACATGCCCTTCATCACCTTGTGCTGGTAGGATCTGTTTGGATGGCTGTGGCCCCTTCCAGATGGTAGGCGCCCTGCCAGCAAGGACTACGCTCTCCTAGGGTTTGGACCATACCTGGTGTGAGGTGTGCCTGTAACAAAGGCCACGTGTGGCTGTTCAACCTCTCACCTTTCGGTGGCACTGAGCGGGGAGAGAGATGAGCCCCACACCTCCCATCCCACCCCACCCCTGCCGACCTCCCCCTGCAACCTCCGCACCCTCCTCCGCCCCAGGTCTTGGTCAGAGCCCCCCACTCACCTGGCCCTTCCATCTCTCGGTCACCCACTTTATCCTGCTCCCCGCCCCCAGCACAGCCAAGGGGGGTGGGGCTCAGAGAGGCTGAAACATTGTCTCTGCTGTCAAGGAATTTGGAACTCGTAGGACAGCAAGTAGGATAAATGCGATGGTGTTTTGAGTGGTAGAGAGGAGAGAGAAAGAGGGAGAGAGCTAAGGAGGTAGTGGGAGAGAGATAAACATCCTGCCAATGACCATCCAAAGTCTGCCCCGGGACCAGCCCTGTGATTATGCTGCACGGATCCTGGAGAGGCAGCCGGGGACACAGACAACCCACTCTCAGCACCCCCTCTAGCCCTCAGTGCCCCATCCTCCTAGTTACTACCCCACCCCCTCCTGCAGCCACACTTCAGGCACTTCCTGTCCACCCTTACATTCCCCCTTACTCTAATAAGCATGGCTTACCTTTCTCAGCCTAAGAGGAAGACTGCCCCCCCCCTCGCCCTCCTGCCCTCTGAGTGCCCCCATGCTCCCCTCCCTTCACCCTATTCATAGCTGTGATGCGGGTGGGCAGCCCAGGCGGGGCCTGGAACAGGTGTGGGGGATCGGGTGACTGACAGATGAGCCGAGACAGCCGCAGCCCAGGAGTGGGGGCCAGAGGGGCTCAGATTCATTGTCATGTGCTGGTATGTGCCTGAGAGAAATGTCAGGGCCCAAAGGGAGCAGCAGGCTGGGATGCGGACCAGTCTGGGGTACTCGCCTCCCTCCAAGGCCTCAGCTCACCTCTGCCCAACATTTTCAATTTACAGACTGGTGTTAACAACCATCAGTGTCTAAGAGTCCTCTCTCCCCCGCCCCAAGGACAGACGTGGCCTCGGCTGGTCTCATGTGTTGTGGGGAAGGAGGGAGGGATTCAGCTTCTCAGTCCCTGCTCTAGACCGTGCATGTCACATCCAACAGAGCGCAGCCTCACAACTCAACCCCTCCTGCACCCAGATGCCAGCTCCAGCTGGAAATGATTTGTCCCGGCAGCCATGAGCCTAGGAACTAATACCGCAATCCCATCAAAGAACAGTAACTTTCAATGGGGGGTGGGCTAGGAGGCTGGGTTGGGGGTATTAAAGTCCTCCTCCAAGCAGACCCTGATCAGCTCCCCAGCATGCACAGTCAAGGCCTGGGCTGGACCAGAAGAACACTGCCAGGCTGGAGAAGAAAGGGAGGCTTTGGGGGAGAGGGCTTTGTTTCCTTGTCTGCTCAGCTCTCCTAACTGTGTGTGGTTGGTCTCACGGCAGCTCACAGCAGGGGAGGGAGCGGCCAGGCAAGTGGGCAGGAGAAGAGAGTTCCAGATGGCTGGGAACGCCAGAGCTGGCTGTGAGGACCCCATGGCTGACCAAAAGTCTCATGGTTAGCAAACAGGAGCATTTATTTTCCCCCATCACAGATTTGTACTCCCTGGTGGTTCTGCCCTCCCCACCCAGGAGGGACCAGATGGCTGCCAAGGTGCCCTGGCTGCCGCCATGCCCCCATCTCCGATTTCACCCGTCCTCACCCTGACCAAGTGTCTGGCCTTCAGAGAGGGCCTGGCTCTAGGGGCTCAGGCAAGGGGCAGGGGCAAGGCAGGCACACAGCCTCCCTTCACTGCCAGCAGACCCCTCACACATCGGGGTCCTCAGAGAGGCAGCCTCCTGCAGACCCTCAAGAACAAAACTGCTGACTGTTCAGAGAAACAGGCCCAAGAAGGCTGAGATCTGCTTAGGTCATCACAGTTCTCAAGTGGCAGAACGGAGACAAGAGCCTCTACAGCCCAGCTGGGCCCCACTGCTGCCCCCCTGTTCTCCCATGGCACACTGGAAGGGCCCCACTGGTGGCCCACCATGCTCCCCTATATCCTGGTTACTGTCCCGGGACCCTGAGATCTGCTCTGGATTCTCCCACTTGGAAGGTGAGCTCTTGGAAGACAAGGTCCATGTCAGGTCCACACAGTGGGGGCTATGTGCACAGCCATGGGCACAGCGCAGAGGCCACAGGGGAACCTGCTGGA